CATGTCCTCCAGGGGACACAATAGCCCTGGTTGAGAACCACTGGTCTAGACTGTAAAGTCTCCTACTCAAGAGGCATGGAACTGGCATGTAATCATTGACTAGTTTCCAGCCTTCCCAAAGCCAAGGTCATTTCACTGCTGTGTTTCTCTTTTGCAGGCTGCAAATGTGTCAGCTCACCACTGCCTGTTGTGAAGACCTCGCCTCAGCTCTCACCATCTGCAAAACACTAAGGAGCCTGAACCTCGACTGGATCACTCTGGACCACGATGGGATGGTGGTACTGTGTGCAGCTTTGAGCCACCCGGACTGTGCCCTGCAGGTGCTTGGGTGAGTGCATGCTATTTCCCTTGGTGGTGAGTGACCTCAGAGTGACTCTTGATTTGTTCAGCCTTGGTACTATTGACACTATGCTGGAGAGTTCTTTGTTGTGGGGGGATGTCGTGTGCATTTTAGAATGTTAAGCAACATCACTGAACTCTATCCTCTCATGAGATGCTGGTAGCACCTCCGTCCAGTTGTGACAATCAAAAATATCTCCAGAGATTGTCAAATGTCCCCTGGTACTCTAGTATAAACACCATCTCCTACCTAAATTGCTTATATGTGTGAAACTCCAGCCCAACGTTGGGAGGGGGCTTTATAAAGGGCTGAATAGAACCTTGACTCAAATACATACACTTAAACAGCTATTATCAACAAGACAGAAAATAACAAATGCCGGCAAGGATGTGGAGAAAAGGGAACTCTCCTACATTGTTGGTGGGAGTGTAAATTGATATAGCCATTGTGGAAAACAGTATGGAAGTTGCTCAGAGAACTAAAAATAGATCTGCTTTGTGACCCACATATCCCACTACTTGGTATATACCCAAAGAAAATGAATTAAACATATCAAAAATACACCTGCACTCCCATATTTATCACGACACTATTCTCAATAGCTAAGAGATGGAATCAACCTAAATGCCATCAGTGGATAAATGGATTTTAAAAACCTGTGGTATACACAATGGAATACTATTCACCTATTAAAAATGATATCCTATCATTTGCAGCAATATGGATAGAACTGAAAACGATCATGTTAAGTGAAGTAAGTCAGGCACAGAAAGACAAATGCCACCTGATATCACTCATATGTGAAACCTAAAAAAAAAAAAAAAAAAGAAAGAAACGTTCTCATAGATGTAGAGAATAGAATAAAGGATACTAGAGGCTGGGCAGGGAGGAGGGATATGGGGGAGAACTGGTGAAATAATGGTACGAAACTTTGCTACCCACCCTAAGTGGATCATTGCACAGTACATGCCTGTATTGAAACCACACATTGTACCCCACAAATATGTACAAGTAAACGTTAAAATACAAAATAAAATAACTTAGGAGAAAGTAAGTAAATCTGATAAGTAAATTGCTGTCCCATGAAACCAGTGGTTAATGTTGTTCTGAACATCCAGTAAATGAAAGTTGTAATTTTTACTTCAACATTTTTTGACTTAAATCTTAACCTCTTTATGCATGCTATGTATGAACTTTCACTGTGCTGCATAAATCAGAGGGTTCCTGTTACATAGACAAGATTCATACTTTTTCTCTAAATTCAATACAATTCCCCCAGTCATTTGCAGAGAAGGATGAGGAGGAGTGGTAGATATCAACATGTACAGAGGCACGTAATCGTGTGTAGAGTAAATTTTACTTCATTTCTGTTTTCCCAGCCTGGACAAATCTGCATTTGCTGAGAAAACACAGAGGCTGCTGACAGCTGTGGAAGAGAAAAATACCCACTTGACCATTGTACATCAGCCTTGGACTGAAGAGGAGTACAAGATGAAGGGTGTGCTCATCTGATGGGAAACATCCTGAAGTAATCTTCCCACAGAGGCTTTTCCTCGGCCACAATGGCATTTCTCCTCCCGGCACACCCTGTCCCATAACTGTACATCATGGCAGCGGGGGCTGATTTCAGGGCTACTTTCTTGCACTGTTCTAGCAATATGATTGTGGAATTTGATTCAGTGTTGTATGTGCTGTTTGTCTTTGCCTCATCCTCTATTCCTCTATCTTTAGAATTCCTATTCTACCTCACATATTTAGGTGAACAAATACATTGAATGCTAAACACTTTGCAAAGCATGGCTTATTTTCTCAGTGGATCTCTTGGAGTGTAGGGGCTTGAATTTAAAGGAACCTTGGTTCTCTGATACACCTGACTTGGAAATGGTGCTAGAATGTGTCTATAGATTTTGTTTGTACTATTCCATCTAATATCCATCCAAACTTTTTATTTCTAATTTTTCCAAATTTAGATTTAATCAACTTGTGGGACTAATAAAAAAAAATAAAAGCATTTACAGATCTCTACTTATCCTTTAGTATAAGCCACTCCAAAATAACATCCATCCAAACTTTTTATTTCTAATTTTTCCAAATTTAGATTTAATCAACTTGTGGGACTAATAAAAAAAATAAAAGCATTTACAGATCTCTACTTATCCTTTAGTATAAGCCACTCCAAAATAAATCAGTACTGACTTTTTCAAATGCATCTACACTGTTTAAATAAGTCTTTTTGAAATATAAACAAACACCTAATTGTTACTATTAAATATTCCCTGGGTCTCTATTGCCGCCTTAATAAATTATGCATGCATTATTGGACTGATATATACTTTTTATTACAATATTATTGCTATAAAATATAAAATCAAAGTGATACAGAAGCTGGATTATATAAAATCAATTTCAATTACACGGGAATGTAATTTCAAATTCCTCTAAAAATGAGGAATTGTAGTGCCTGGACTGTTCAGATATCTGGGAAAACTTGGTAATCATTACTTAGATTTTAAGAAATAAAAATATAGGCATAGTGGCTCTGTGTGGCTCAAATGCAGAAATTTTGGAAAATGTAAAGATATGGGATCTATTATTCATGTTGAAAAAGGAAAGGTTTTCAATGTTTATTTCCAAGAAAATCCCCAATTGGTGTAATTCAGGTCACACACAAGGCCATCACAGGTATAATGGTGAAAATTTTTTTCCAGATCTTGAACTCAGTGTCCAGAATCCAAGTTCTGAAGAGGGTAAGATCATCCCTTGTCAATTAACAGATTCTTTGCAAACACCTGGATTCCAACTTTGCATTGTCTCATGTTCATCTCCCAATCCTGGAAGCCAGAGGTGAACCAAGGAGAGCCCAGGACACAAAGTGCATAACTGAATTTTTTGGCACAATTTTGACTTGTTTGAAGTACCCACATTGCACATTTCTCAGGTCATAAGGAATGACGAGGAGTTTGCTTGCTGTGTCAACATCTATGGTCATATCCACTGGAGGGAAAAGCCAGCTCAGCCAATGAGCAGACTATATGGCTGACTGTACTACTTTCTTTTTTTATGTATATAACTGGTATCTGTACTTAAATGCAAAGCAGCCATTATTGAGCACATGGCACATTGCATCAGAACCCTACAAAAAGAAAGTGAGGTGAATACATTGCAAAGAGTTTTGGTTCTGCAGTCAGATCTTACAAGGCTTGGTTCTCAGCTTTAGCAGTATTTATGCATGCTGTGAGGTTCAGAGACAGTTATCTACTCTCAATTTTTCCCTGAAAGTTCTTACTTAAATTCCAAGGAACTCCCAAGTTCAGAAACTGCAAGAATGAGGCATTAACTAAGACTTTCAAGGCTTTTAGCTACAGCAAAATTGTAGACTGAACCAAGAGAGACCTTGCCTGCTACAGTGGCATGAAAATTCTGCAGATCTATGACCTGTTCTTAAATGGTTTAACGTGGCTCAGTTGAGGCACTCAGTTGAGATGAGGAAGTGTGAGAACTGAGTGGGGTGAAAAAAAGTCAGGGTGTTATCTCTGCCAGCTGATTCCATTGTGGCCTTTGGAAGGCTGATGTTAGGACTGAAAGGAACTCCCATCTAAAGCCTCTTTATGGGCTAAAGTGGATCATTCTGAATGTTGTCAAATGGAAATGTCTACAAAATAAAAAATGCTATAAAACTATTTTTCTATGGTGATTGCCACACAATGATATTGTAAATCCATCATTCTTTCTGCATTTACTACTTGTAACCAGATGCATTTTTTAAAAAATCCTATCTCTGCCATTATGGCTGTGTGATCTTGAAAAAGTCATAGAAATAAAGGATCAGCTCTGATTTTTGAATCCAGTGAAAAAGACCTTTGGAAATTAGGATAACTCCTCTATTTTTCCCCTTCTCTTATTTCCTTTCCTCTCTCCAGCCACAGCCGAGTTGGCAGAGCTGCAGAGGCACATTGGTGGTGGGGCTGAGCACCCTAGAATGCAGGGCAGTGAGGGAGGAAATGGGCAAAGCAGACATGTGTTAGTCTTGTTTCAGAGAGGACTCTAGGATGCAGGTGGGAGGAGTAGTTGAAGCCATGTGAAGAAATGAAAGCAACAAGCCTCCTAGGGCCTGAGTGTCTGAGGATTCTGGGGGGATTTGAAGATGGAGGCGGAGCAGACAGGCAGTGTGGTTATGTGGGTTTGAGGCTGAGATCACTGAGCATTTAAGAAATTGGTTTGAGCAAATAAGGTGAGGTGAATGTAGCCCAGGTTTCCCACTATTGGAGGAAAACTTACAAACACGGAACAGGAAAAATCTAGAATAAATCCTAGAGGTTGGTTTTGAATTGAAGGGACTGGGACTATCTCATGTTATGTATGAGATAGTTGCACACAAACACACATACACAGATAAATATAAAAGGATGTAAATGTGTGTGTGTGTGTGTGTGTGTGCGCACGCGCGCGCCTGTGGAAACCCACATAAGGACAGGATCAGTCGACTGAGTGTGCCCCAAAGCAACAATGTACTGGCAGCAATGAGCACAGCTGACAGCAAGTTCTATTAAAAGAAATGAGTATTTTGGGGTGAAATTGCTGACACTAGGAATGAACCTGGAACAATATAAGCAGAGCCTGGATTACCAACTTGTGTAAAATTACAGAAACTTTGTGAATCTCCCACCAATCATATCTGGAGAAACATGAGCCTGGAAATAAATAATGATTGCATTAGAATGCAGTTCATTGAATTAGATAGAATCCAGCAGTACTTTTGAAAAGAGAAAAAGAAAGAAAAGAAAAGAAGGAAGGAAAGAAAGAGGTTAGAAAAAAAGAAGGGAGGAACGTGTAAGGAAGGTAGAAAAGTTTAGTCAGGCTCTCTCGCCTCACATCTGTTACGAATGGGCAAAATTCAGCACATTCGCTAGAAACAAGTTATAAAAGTAGTGTAACAGTGCATGTGTGGCCATTTACTGATTCAGCATGATTGTCATAATTATGTAATGCTTGGCCTGTGGCCATTATTGTGTACTAAGAGTATAAATGTAGCTGCTCTGAACCGCTGGTTGGCAGAGCATGGAGGGTCAGTGGAATATGGCAGAGCTCATGTTTGAGGATAAAGCATGTCTGTGAAGCTCACATTTGAAGAATAAAGTATGTCTACCTTGCATAAAGCTGCCAGAATCTTCTTTTAATTACCTGACTCATGGCCTGCACAGGAACAGGCAGAAGGATCTGAGATCCAGCCTGACAGAAGGTAAAAAGAAAGAGAACCAACGCATCCTCACCTACATTTGTTATTCTCGGTCTTGAACTCTTCTACACTCTTCGTAGGACTGTAAATTAGTACAGCCATCCTGTAAAACAGTATGGAGGTTTCTCAAACAACTACAGATAGAACTACCATATGATCCAGCAATCCCACTTCTAGGTATATGCCCAAATGAATGGAAATCATCATGTCAAAGGGATACCTGCACTCCCATGTTCATCACAGCTCTGTTCACAATAGCCAAGATGTGGAACCAACCTAAATGTCCATCAGTGGATGATTGGTTAAGGAAAATGTGGTATGTATACACCATGGAATAGTACTCAACCATAAAAAAGAATGAAATTCTGCCATTTGCAGCAACATGGATGAGCTTGGAGAAATAAGCCAGGCACAGAAAGAGAAATACTGCATGTCCTCACTCATAAGTGGGAGGTAAGAAAGAAAGAAAGAAAAAAGACCACAATAAAACGTTGAACTGAAGAGTAGTTACTAGAGACTGGTGGGGAGAGGGTAGTCAGTCAATAAAAAATATTAGACAGGAAGAATGGGATCTAGGGTTTTATGGTAATATAGGGAGACCACAGTTAACAACAAAGTGCTGTGTATCTTTGAATAGCTAGTCGAGATAATGTTGAATGTTCCTAATACAAAGAAGTGACAAATATCATTATTTTCTAAACATTAAAGTATACCAAACATTTACATAGCATTTATATTGTATAAGGTTTTATAAGTAATCTAGAGATAATTTAATATGTATGGGGAGATGAGCACAAGTTATTTAAAAACACTAAGCCATTTTACATAAAGGAATTGAGCATCTGTGAATTTTGGTAACACAGAAGGTTCTGCAATCAATCCCCCACACATACCGATGGGTGACTTTATTTATGACTATTACTGAACCTGTGTTTTATACGTTTACCTTCTCTACAGCAATTTTTAGCAATTCAGTAGCAGAAACTAAGAGCCCTAGGATCTCTAAGGATCAAAAATAAGGGGGATACAGTGGGAAAACATGAGGTCAAAATTTCAGACACATGCATCAAACACAGATAAGTTCAAAGAAGCAGTGCTATAAAAGTCATAAATAGAATGCGGAATGTAAAATTGGACCATGACGTGACCATCAGCATCAATACGGTGTGGGTGGCTCTGGTTTCTGAAGGACAATTGTGGTAATGAATTTGGGTGAGAATATGCTGCACTCTCTCTCTTCTGGTGTCTCTGCAGGAGAAGCACCATGGAGACACTG